TCCTCTCCTTCCATCCACTTGAAACCCCTCAAATTTTTTTACAAATTAAAATTAGTTCATGTTTTTACAATTCAAATTTTTTTACAGATTGAAGTTGCTTTATGTGTTATTTTAGAAATTTTTTACACTTTTTTCAAAATTTTTTACAATTTTTTTTTCAAATTTTTTAAAGTTCTATTGAAACCCTCAAGTTTTTGTTCAAATTTGCTGCCAAAAAAAATTCATGGAAGTTGCTGCCACCTGTTTGGTCCTTTAATCATAGTTATGTTAAAAACTTTGATTCCCCTATTTTGAACCAAACAGGAATAAAGGGAATTGTATTCCCTTTCCTTTACTGGACCAAACAGATAGAGTAATTCAGGGGTAATCATTCTCTTTCCTCCTGATTCCCTTTCTAGCTTTCTTTCCATTTCCTCAGCATGAACCAAACACCCCCTTAAGGTTCATGTACTATCTAAAAATATTCAAATTAGTTTTATACCTAAAATTGAATCAAATTGGTCTCTATAGTATTATTCTTGTTGAATCAAGTCCTTCCCTTAACTTAAATCTTATGTATTGTTCCAAATTTTTAAAGAAGATGTCAAATTTTACCATAGATAAAATGGAGATATTGTTTAACATAACAAATCATAAATTTAATCTAATTTTAGTCATTATATAATAAATTATTTTGTCTCTAACTTATTTCATAAAAGTAAATTTAAAAAAATGTATCTTTTTTGTAAGAAAAAGTTTTTTTTTAAAAAAAATAAGTATGCATGAATTTGTCAATACAATAATTTCATGTCAAAAATTAATGTTATTAGTAAAAATTTAGGGCAATATGTAAGAGACAAGGACATGTTTGAACAAAAATTAATAGTACATGGACTAAATTGATAGATTTTAAGTAAATGGACTAATTTAAATATTTTTAGATAGTATAGCGACCTCTACGGTACTTTGTCCGAAAAAGGTTATATTAAACCCAAAATACAAATCTCACTTTTAACCTCACCCTTTACAAATCTTACAGATATTCACAGACATCCGACATTATTCCATGTCTATGAATGTCTGTAAAGTTTATAAGGGTGGGGTTAAAGGTGGAGTTTATATTTTTGGCGTTGAAGTAACATTATTCACTCTAAATTTATGCTTTGTATCTTCTAAAATATTCTTCCTCTTTTCGTTTAGTGAAGTTTACCCAAAAGGGCACCAAACCGTAGTTGTTTTACCTAAATAGCACCATTACTAGTTTTTTCTCTCACTAGCACTAATTTTCATCCGTACTACCTACTCTATCCTTCTGCAACCAATGCCCATTTCAAACCATTCCTTCTAGTTTTACTTATTTTTGGAAAACAAATCCTTAATTATCCCTATTCTTCCGGAATAAACCGATTGCCTACTCATTTTCCACAATTCACTGCGATAAACATCATGCGGCTGCTCATTATGCGCCTACTCATCATGCGCCTGCTCTCGCCACATTCACTACAATTACCGGCGGAATTAATCACAATTATCTAATTCTTTTAGTAGCAATTCTCTGTCCCGCTGGATCGATTATCCATTTCATTATCATGTTTTCTTCATTACTGAATTCGTTATCCGTGTCGGCGCATCCAGCGCCCTCCGTGTTTTGTGTATTATTTTGTTGTGCCTAGACGGTGAATGGACGAGTGATGGCACATTCAATTCTAAAAGTTTTCATGAACTCACCATCTCGTTTGAGAATTCTTTTGGAATGCTTATTGACTCCATTCGTTCACTACTTGGCCCCCACCTGATTTTTATTGATGATTACACTAACTTACATTCATACCTCTCTATGAAATCACAGTATTTGGATATGAATTTAATGCCTATGTGTATTGAGCTTTTTCTCAATGTACAGACAAATGTAGGTATTTGCTCTTCTTTTCCCCATGACCAATCGTTTTGTATGACTCCATCAAGTTTCAATTCTTTATCTGACGAGAGCAATGATGTTGGAAGCATAGAACATTCTGTGTCATCATCACACCAGTCCACTAATTACTTAATGGATTCCCCTTTGTTTAATTGTTCTTCACGTTTGCAAAGGTATGACAGTGGGTACACAATGGACATTGTAGCACGCGAACCAAATTCGGATAATGATGAGAGTTCTACCTTTGACTTGTCTGCAAATGAAATTTGCACCAACCTTGATTTCGAAATAGTAACTCGCTTTGATCCAACTAAAATTGAGTTGGATGCGATTTATGAGAACAAGAGCGACTTAATATACCATCTGTTGGCAATCTCTAACTTATTTTAGTTCCATACTAAGAGGTTAACAAAGAAGCTTCTCCACGTCGTTTGTGTGGAAAACAAGTGTTGTTCTTGGGTTGTTAGGGCAGTTCAATTACCACACACTGATATGTTCCAAATTCGTAGGTATGGCTCATTCTTAAAACATTCTACATGTCCATATTTCACACACATTGCTTATGCTACATTATTTTGATTTTTCTTCCAATTCAGATGCATCTACGAAAATGGATAAGTTGTCTGTTTTTTTCTCAACAATTATATCATTAAGTGTATGTTGCAATACACACTGCAATACACATCACTCTATAACACACATTGTCTCAGAATTAACATGTCTAAAAAAGTATTTCGGACAACAACCAAAAAACTTTTGTTTGGGACTTTCACACACATTGTTCATATTATAAATGTGCTAAAAAAATTGAGCTAAATCACACTCACTGTCCACATTATAATTTCTATAACTTGTTATTCCACTATAATGTCCATGTTTATGTTAATTGAGGTTACTGTCCAAACTTTATTCAATCCCAGTATGCCAATCACACTGTCCACACCAGGTTATCACACACACTGTCCATACTGTTTAGGGGGTTTGTAAATACCGTGTAGTTTTAAAAGAAGTACACACTATCCTTCACTTTTTTAGTTTTAATATTCTTGCAAATGTTAATGCAATGTCTACTCACAATACCTTTAACATACACATCTCTTTCTTCTCACGTGTTTTAAATTTGGCTTCAATTTCGCTAATGATAAAAAAAATCAACTTACCATTGTTATGCTGAATTCTCTCAGGTATGATCATGAACATCAATGCCCAATTGTCTTTATAACACTTTTTTCAGATTTGAGACACCATATTATTATTTTTAGATTTCCAAAATCCATTTTTTATTATACTTTGAACATTCATCAAAACAGGCTTTTAATCATTTGCGGAGTACAATATTAATGAGCCCTTTTCAAGATTCTAAACCCATAAGAATGAAATTATTGATGTGTTTGGAAAATAGTTTTTGACATTTTTGACTGACTTTGACATATTTGACTTATCGAACCTCCAAAATTATTGTTTGGCTAATAGATTTTTCACTTAGCTTTTTGATTCGAAATTCCAAAACCCGAAAAGCCAAGGGGAGTAGAATTTGAACTTGGCTTTTAGAAAAATTATTTTTTAATAATTTTTCTTGAAAGATATTTTATACTCCCTCCGTCCTATATTGATCTTCCCAGTTCCCTTTTTTCTCCGTCCTAAAATCATCTTCCCACTTCTAAAAAAAAGTAGGTAAATGACTTTAATACCCTTTAGTTCCATCGTTTCTCCTTCTCTTCCTACTTCATTTGATCTTTTTCTCCATTTCTTCTCTCCCTGTTCGCCCTTCTCTCTTTCCCTTTCTTGTCTTTCTTCTTTCTTCCCTTTGTTCTCTTTCTCCCTTCTCTTTTTCAGATTTTTCCTTTCTTATCTTTCTTCTTTCTCCCTTTCTTCTTTCGGATCTAATTATTGAAGCCAAATCAGCGAGATGGGTTAGTGGATCTACATGACCGAGATGGTGCAGATGGCTTCGGAGATCCAAATCGAGATGGTGCAGATGGGTTGGAGATCCAAATCAGATAGTACAGAAGGGGTCGGCGGTGCATATGGGTTAGGAGATCCAAATCCGTATTTTTTTTGTGAAAATTTGTTCCAAGATCTGCTTGGCAACGAGATGGGTTAGGAGATCCAAAAATTTTGTTCCCAGAAAATCCTCTGTTTTTCCGATTGCCGCCGTCAAAGAATTTTTGCTTCATCACAGTGATGAAAGGGTGACTTCCTGGGTTGGGGTTTTTAACTTTTTGTTTTTTCAATTTCTTCAACT